AGAGGACTCTTTAAAGTAGAGACACTACATACTGATATACACCTGAACATCAGCAGGAGAGGACTCTTTAAAGTAGAGACACTACATACTGATATACACCTGAACATCAGCAGGAGAGGACTCTTTAAAGTAGAGACACTACATACTGATATACACCTGAACATCAGCAGGAGAGGACTCTTTAAAGTAGAGACACTACATACTGATATACACCTGAACATCAGCAGCTGAGGACTCTTTAAAGTAGAGACACTACATACTGAAACAACTTCACTGAACCTTGACTCTTCTGAATCTCTTCTCTCAGCTGTTCCACAAGCCTCACCACGTCTGGAAGATCCCGTCTCCGTTCGCCAGCCACGCTTTCCACCCGGTGGACGGCTTCATGCAGGGCCTCCCGTACCACATCTACCCGTTTATGTTCCCGCTTCACAAAGTGCTCTACCTCGGCCTCTACGTCTTCGTCAACATCTGGACAATCTCCATCCACGACGGGGACTACCGGATCCCCCTCGCTCTCACCCCCGCCATCAACGGATCGGCGCACCACACCGACCACCACCTGTTCTTCGACTACAACTACGGGCAGTACTTCACGCTGTGGGACCGTCTGGGGGGTTCGTACCGGCACCCGTCCGCCCTGCTGGGGAAGGGGCCGCACGATCTGATCCGGAAACTGCAGGCCGAGGGGAAGTTAGGAGAGGACAGAGGGAAGGGGAGAGGGAGTAAAGAGGAATGATTTTAAAGAGAAGTGGTGATTAAAAGTGTTTATTTTTGTAAAGACAATGGGCTGAACTTAGATACTCCTCAACCATCTACCATATGATGATACGACTCTACAGTTCACTACAGTACGGTACAGTATAATACCGTTTAGTACGGTACGGTATAATACAGTACATTACGGTACAGTATAATACCGTTTAGTACGGTACGGTATAATACAGTACATTACGGTACAGTTTAATACCGTTTAGTACGGTACGGTATAATACAGTACATTACTGTACAGTATAATACCGTTTAGTACGGTACGGTATAATACAGTACATTACGGTACAGTACGGTACGGTACGATACTTGACCGTACAGTAATGATGCTTTATTGTCGGACCAAGTCTGAAATATTTCTTGCATCACAGCATCTCCATTTGCAGCATCAACAAGGACAAATAATAAGACGAATATGTTCAAGACCCTTTAACGCACATTTGATCTGGGATTTAATTTCACGATTTACCGGAACACAGATGAGTGCTTCAGTCTTAAAAGAACCCAGGACATTAACATTTTAAACATAATTTAATGGACATTTTGTGCGAGTCAAACATGTTTTTCCAGAGCCGCTAAATGCTCAGAGCTTTTAATTGACCGAGGTTTGAACACATCTGTAAAACTGGTCCAAACTGGTGCAGATACTTTAGAAAATGTCGGAGCCTAATGCCAGCATTTTGTATACTAAGACAAGGAAACAGACATTTAACATAATCACTGAACACAATGTGTTCAAGACACTTTAACGGACATTTCATCTGGGATTTAACTCTGTATTTAATTGTAGGAGTTACTTCAGTCTAGACATTGTTAACATAGGGTTTCTCAATGGGTTGACGTCGATCTTTGGGCAGATTTTCATTTTGTCGAGTGGTTTTAAACACGCCTGTTTGCTCTCCTGGCTCCAAAATGGCGGAACAACTCCCCGTTGATATGAAGGTCAGCAGAATGTCTACTTTTCTTCCAACTTAGACTGAAAATCCACCTGTTTCAAATGCTCAAACAAGTGTTTCGTTCTTGTGATTTGGATAGAAGCGTCAGCTAAATGTAATGTAATCTAAACGCATTTATACCTGCCAAATATGCTGTTGTGAGATTTCAAATACTAGTCAACAGGTCTAAGTGTCCTTGGGTAAAATACTTAACCCCAAATTGCTTCATGTCCACAGTACTGCAGATAGATAGATAGATGGATAGATAGATGGATGGATAGATGGATGGATGGATAGATACTTTATTGATCAGAATTTGGGAAATTCTTATCAACAATTAAAAATAAAATGAAAAATATGATATCCAATATAAATAAAACAATATAAAATAGTGTGGATAATTAAAATAAGAAGTCAAAGTATGCACCGTAAGTCCCTTTGGATGTATTAGCATGTAGCATGTTAGCATGATTTAATTAAAAGCAGGCTTTGGGATCAATATATTCTTTGATGCACCAAACAAAGCTAACAAGCAGACGGACATCAGCTGTAATAAATTAGAGTTTTGAGCAAGAGACGTCAGTGAATGGGAGTTTCATAATTTAACAATTAGTTTTGGGTTTTTAATTCATATTGAATCTTAGAATGTAGCAAATGAATACCTTTCTTTAAGGCATTTTTCAAATTGTAGAAGATTAAATCCTCAGATTCCTGTTCATTTCATGTCTTCTCTCTCTCTGTCTGTTGAGGTGATAACATCCTCATTACTGTGAGAATAAAACACCTTTCCTCCTGTTGCTGTTTTATGTGCTTTGACTGACTAAGTGCAATTACTTTTTTGGATATAAATAATAATGATGAATACTTTGTCCACGGTTTCAGTTTTTAAATGTGTTTTCATTGAGAGTGAGGGTTCATTCCTGTCCATGAAAGGAGTCATTTCACATGTATTTAATCCCTTTAGTTACTTTACAGATGTGGATGAATGATGAGAAATCTAATCGAGAGTTAAATCAGACTTTAGTTCCACCTGGAGTAAATCCACAAGCTACCCTGCAGTATACAAAGTCATTCAAACTAGCTGCACCTTTACCAGCTTTGAGAACACTTTCATGATCAATCATTATAAAACATATCATATATATTATTCTGAAATGGACCAATCTGCACAACGACTACTTTTACTGTCCTACTTTCACTATATTTTGATGAGAATACTTTTCTACTTTCACTTGAGGAACATTTTGAATGCAGGACTTTTACTGTAACAGAGTATTCCTACACTCTGGGACTATTACTTTTACTCAAGTAAAAGGTCTGAGTACTTCTACGTTTACTAAAGTACAAGATCTGAGTACTTCTACGTTTACTCAAGTACAAGGTCTGAGTACTTCTACTTTTAGTAAAGTACAAGGTCTGAGTACTTCTACGTTTACTAAAGTACAAGGTCTGAGTACTTCTACGTTTACTAAAGTACAAGATCTGAGTACTTCTACTTTTACTCAAGTACAAGATCTGAGTACTTCTACTTTTACTAAAGTACAAGATCTGAGTACTTCTACTTTTACTCAAGTACAAGATCTGAGTACTTCTACTTTTACTAAAGTACAAGATCTGAGTACTTCTACTTTACTCAAGTACAAGATCTGAGTACTTCTACTTTTACTAAGTACAAGATCTGAGTACTTCTACTTTTACTCAAGTACAAGACCTGAGTACTTCTACTTTAGCTCAAGTACA